AATTGGGAATTTTATGCCCATCAAATGCCCTTTCATAATCTTTATTTATACGCGAAGAAAATAGCCAAGCTGAAAAACAAGAACAACAAAAACAAAAACAGCAATTCCTTGAAGAGCGGACGATCTGCTAGGACGGGCAGGATCTGCCTTCCGGATACGGGGCCTTTCTGTTTCAGCTCCCAGTGGGTTGGAGCCGAACGTCACCTCCACATTGGATTTGGTTTTTAAAAGGTCTTCTTCACTCAAAGGAAGAAAATGTGTATCAAATATAATTTTGAATTTATTATCACAAAATTCTATTTGATTCTTTTTTCAAATTTCTGCCTTCAGAACAGTTTCCTGAGGCCAGAGACTGCCAATATTTCAAAGAGATTTTTCTCATAAAAATTGAGCAAAATAGTTTTAATACAAGAGAATCACCTCGGCAAGGGAGGATGAAAAGTTTGCCTAAGATCCTAAGGCTAAGATGAAGCAATTGGAATGGAAAGGCAGTGGCTTTCAAGGCCAGCCTTTATTTCGCTTATGAGTATTTAAGTAGCTGCATAGCCACTGTTCTCGATCATCTTTAGATCACTGGGAGCCGTTACCATTAATAATAAATCAATTTTGTACCATAAAGGAGATAAATATCCATGTTTGTACCAAGACACCCTTCTCCCTGGCATAGCTCTTTCCGGAGAAAAATTAAAAGGGTTGCTTTATCAAGAAATTAGCATTTGTAATCAAGAAGTGGTTTGCATCTGTGCTCTCCTGTCGCCGGGGAGAAGAGCAGCAACACCGGGCCTGAATGAACTTGGGGTCTCCTTGGTTTGCTCTAAATCTGGGCCCAGAGTGGCCTCAGGGCCGTACCACTCTTTGGGGACAGAGTTGATGGAGACATATTTTAAAAGCTCCTTCTCCAAGACACCCGTAGGGTTGCACTGTGTACCTCCCAGCCAAATTGAAAAGAAATCGGAGCAAGTAGGGAGGCTTCGGAAGCCACCACCAACCCGATGAGGGAATCTCTGGAGATGTGTACAAGGACCGGCGGCGGGGAGCCTCTTTCCGTAGCAGACGCAAAAGACTCCTTAGCGCATTTTCCCTCCACTTCAAAATCTGAGACCTCAGCAACTCAAGATACATGACCACCCTCCACAAGTCCCATACCCCTGAACGATCAGGAGGGGTCAGGTCTGCAGTCCTTAGAAGTCCTGGTCCAGTTCCCTGGCCTTTTCAGGCCCGTCTTGGGAGCTGCCAGGATGAAAGGAAATGCAGACCGATGAGCACCCATGTGGTCTTCAGGAGACTGCCAGCCGAGGCCAAGAGGCCCCGCAAAGCAGCATGCACCCCCGCAGGAGTCACCCAGAGAGGACCACAACGACATTGGAGGAGGGGAGTTCTCACCCCTCCTGGACCGAGGCCCCGGTTAGGTCCCAGGAAATGTAGCTTCACAATAGCTAAGTTGGGCCCACGGTCTGACAGGCTGGAGCCAGGGGTGCCACAGGGAACACCCGCGTTTCTGGCTGGCACTTCTCTGGGGTGTTCATGGTGCCCAGTCCACCCTGGAGCCGACGCCAGCTCCCAGGCGCAGACCCACAGCCTTTGGTCCAGGGCCTGGAGGGAGGAGACATTCAGCAGAGCCCACCAGGCTGGGACTAATGCTGAGGGTTGTATGCGCTTCACAATGAACTTCGGGTAAGAAGGGATAGCTACCCATCCTTAGAAACCCGCATCCTAGAGACCGCTCTTTTGGAACCTCCCTTTTGGCCTGCGGGTGGCAACACGTGCTCTTCCCAATGTTAGGGGCTTTGCAAAGGGCGGGGGTGGGGGGTTGAAAAGAACACCATGAGGCAAGCAGACGGCTTGGAGGGGTGACCAGGGTGTTGTCAAATGCAAAGCCCGTTTGCTTCCAATGCATTACCCATTCCACAATGCCTAGAAGTATAAATGTTAACTGATACAATCTGCCGCTTCCCACAGCCCCATCAGTGCAGCCTGGCCCCTGCGTCCCAACTCATAATCCTTCCTGCCTGTGCCTCTAGGTCGCTACCTGTAGCCTCTGGCACCAGACTTGACTTGGGTGGAGGCAAGATGTCTTAGTCCAAGACGACACACCCTCAGTTGCAATTCGTCCTATTTTTTTCTAGCACCACACCCAGCTAAATTGCCAGAGCCCTGATCTGTCTTAAACAAAAAGCCTTTTAATCATCCCAGAAGGTCGGAGAGCGTGCCAGGGGGACATGGTTTGGGGGAAGGGGTGGTCCTATCCTCATATTGCTCTCCGCACTCAAATCATCAAGAATGTTGATATTCCCTAATACGATTAACTTGCAGTGGCATGACCTATTTCTAAATGCACGAATTAGTCTTTTAAAAATCTGTCCTGAACACCACCAGGTTATAACAAGGTACTCTTTGCAACAGCTTTATCTTTAAGTAGATAACGATTAAGGTGATCGCTTTTTTCAGATATCTGGGTAGTTCCCGAATTTACTTTGTCTTTACACAACTTCCCACACCTCATGTCTGCTTAGAACCAACAAACAGCAAACAAACACCTTAGCCGCTGCCTGTTTCTAAGGGGCTGAGACTGCCTATTAGAATCCAGTGATAGAACGATACGGTACCTTGGCCTCTGCGCCAACCGCGGCTTCGGGAACGTGAGCACGCCCCCGTGTGGCTCTCCAAGGCCATACAAACGGAAAATGGTATCTCTTGCCTAAGGTGGCAGACATACAAGCTTGTTACATTTAGCCTCAGTAAAAAAAAAAAAGAAAAGAAAAGAAAAAAAGAGAGAGAGAGAAAGAAAGAAAAAGAAAGAAAGAAAGAATAAAAGGGAGAAAGAAAGGAAAGACCTATGCCGAAAGAATAAACCAGTTTTAAGCAGCTTCTGGAAAGACCATACTACTATATAACTGCTAGGCACTGACATGGTAACAGACACCCAAAATTCCAAACAAAGGAATCCCCTTCCAAACGAAATTACTCAACTGTAGGCTTTGTTTCTATTGCATTTTTCACCAAAGGTTGTGGGATGATTTTGAAAACAGTATATTTTCTTTTGATCCATGTCATAGAAAGTGCAATAATTTATTTGACAAGGTGACAATTTTTAAAAAAATATAACAAAAGTGTAAGTCTAAACAGAACTTCCTTTTTCAAATGCTTGCGTTTAAAATCGAGGCTCTTTATTAGAGCAAGGGGTACTGCTATCTGTGACTCAAAACTCTCCACCATTTCCCAGCTGTATGAACTACATGCTGGTAGACATTTTAATCTAACTAGTGTTTTTAAAAGGAGTCAATTGTTATTGAATTACACAAATGCTTGAAGGGAAATTAAGGTTATTGATCCTGAAATTAGGAATTTGCTTAGATTTATGGTGAGTCCCCATATGATTCTGTGTGGTCATAAATGTGTGTGGGGATCTGGGTGTGTGAGCATGTGTGTGTGTGAGTGGGTGGCGGATGAATATCACAGAAGGACCTTAAGGCGCCTAATTATTCAGAAAGGTTAAAGGTGATGACCTTGACATTTTGGAAGTTCAAAGGCATACACTTATGCACTTATGTTTTTCCTTTCCCCTAAAGCCTTGGCAATTAAAAAATTTTGCATTGGAAGTGTATGTCTCTTTGGAAGAGGCATGTGGTGCTGTATATCTTATGGAGTTATTTTCTTTGACTCTGGGCTTATGAGAAGTTAAGAGTCATAAGATTCACTTTACTCTTTTAGGAGAAAGAGAAGTTTTCCTCACTCCTCCAGTTTATTGCACGTTGCGGAAATCTCTTCTGGGCCCACCAGAAGGTGTATAATATAACCCAATTAAGCTGTTTAGAACTTTGGCTTTTATGGTGTTGTCTAGACAGTTCAAGGTTTTGTAAACAGCCTGGCCTGGTCCTGCAACATAAAGTGCAGTGCACCCCCAACACATTCTTTAACTTGAAGCGATAAATGTGGTGAGAACTGAGTCTGCAGCCCCATGACCTATTCCAGGAAGGGGGCTTATGTTCCCTGCTCCAAACCTGCTGTGACACCAGCAAGCACCCCGAGACCTCTCTACCCATGGATAACTTCCTTTTAGCAAACTTTTGTTTTTCAGCGAGGTTTCTAATATTGGTTTCTTCTTTTCAGGGACCTTGGATCCTTGACACTTTAAGAGTGAATTTGCATTTTCTAATCAGTTTCTTAAAATTTTCCTCCCCAGAAATTCTAAGTTCACTAGACTAGTGTGTGTGTGTGGGGGGTGGGGGGGCGAGATGCTGCTTCTTATGTTCCTGCTGCCTCAGCCTCATTGTCTGGAGAAGATAGCACCAGGGTCACATCCTCAATTTAAAGGTTCATCCCTCAAGTGATTTCTGAAACCAATGTAGTCTAGAAGTGGGGGAGGGAAACTCTCATTTTAGCGGAATTAAAAAGCATTTCATTTGATTTTCAGTTGCATGGGGGAGAAGATTCGGGCTGCTAAAATATCCTGAGCAGACACTAAACTTATTCAAAGAGGAAAATTCATACAGTATATTGAAGCTGTAACCTCCATTTTACTAGAAACCATTTATTCACACAAAAGACAGTGACTCATGCCTTGACACGACAGACCAAATGTACACATTTCCCAGAGTTTAAATAATCTGCATTCGCCAAGGGAGAAAGACAGGGTCTCTTAAACTCAAAACAAAAGCAAGTGCCTTGCCGCCCAGGCCTAACTCTCTACAGATCCCACAGCGTCCCTACAGGGACCTGGACAGGGAGGGAAAACAACAGCACACTGGCGGTAAAATTGTAAAGGGACGTTTGCATTTACCATTTTCCCCTTATTAGGATCCGTTGGGCCAAGTCCCGGGCCTGGTCCGCAGGTAGCAGTGGTCGCTGGGAGGTCCCGAGTTGATCGTGAGAAGGAATGGTGGAGTTCCACAGAGAAGAGGCGTCATTAAACCCAAGGACACTGGGCCTGCCGGGGGCAGGCTGGTAGGGAGGAGTGTGAGTGAGCGGGGGTTGTGGGAGAGGGGTGCTTCCTGGAGCTCTCAAAATAAGGGATTTCCAGTGAAATACTGCAGACGGTCTCTGTTCAGTTTCTTTTCCTTCATCCTGCGATTCTGGAACCAGATTTTGACTTGCCGGTCAGTAAGGTTGAGCATCCGAGAGAGTTGGAGTCTTTTCTCTTTGTTTATGTACACGTTAAAGAAAAACTCGCGTTCCAGTTCTCGGATCTGGTACTTGGTGTAGGGACAGCGCTTTTTCCGGGACCGCTGGGGGGCCACTGCAAGGCAAAGAGACCAAGGGTGAGAGAGGCCACTGCCTGCCAACCCCCGCCCACCCTCCTGCCCGCCCGCCCAGGCCTTCGCGAGGGCCAGGCCTCGGTCCTTTGGGGACGTTCCCTGCCGCTGTTGAAAGGCCCTGCCTGCGTCGTGGGGGATGATATATGGGCGGGTACAGGAGAGACTGCGGGCGTGGACCTGTGTTCACACCCGGACACACACACGCGCGCGCGCACACACACACACACACACACACACACACACTGGCACTAAGGTGGGGAAGCAGAGCACGAGGCAGCCTCTGGGCTGGAACTCGAAGGGAGAGAAACAAGAGCGCGCGGGGGCATCTGCTTGACTCCAGGCAGGAGCGCGCGCCAGCCAGAGGCTTGGATAAAGTCCAGTTCAAGGATCAAACTCTCCTCACCCACCCCACCCCTTAGAAATGGGAGGCTCGAGTGTCCATACTCACAAATTGGCTTGAAATCATCCCTCCCTCCCTTCATGGTCTCTAGCACATACACATACACACACCCAAACTGAGAAAAGCTCTCAGCAGCGATTAATGTCCTCCTCGAAGTCTACCTTAAGCCCACCTAAATTGGTTTCCTATCGTAAACACGCTTTACAACGGCCCGGGAAATCTTATAGGATGTATAAACCTCTTCGAACGCTTATAAAGTAGCACATAAAACGGCGCAAGCGGAGGGAGGCCCCCGCTGCCCCCCCGCGCCCCGCGGCCCCGGGCCCCGCCGCCCACCCGGCGCCCGGTGCCTACCTGTGCCGCTCTTCTCAGCCCCCGCCTCCCCCGGGGGCCCCTCGCCGTCACGCCCGCCGCCTTCTGCCGCCCCCTTCGGCTCCGAGGCGGGGGTCGCCTTGGCGCAGGGACTGTCCCCACCGCCACCTGCCCCGGTCTTGGGGTCTCCCTTGTCGGCAGCACCCTCGGGTTGCGGCTGCGCGGGCGGCGGCGGGGGCTGCGGCCCGGCGAACGGGGGCCCGGGCGCGGCCTCGTAGAATTGGTCGAAGCCCTGCGGCAGGATGCCGTTGCGGCCCACGGCGCTGTAGAAGTTGGAGGCGGCACCCGAAGGGCCGTGGGGCGGCCCGGGCGCGGCGCACACCGGCTCCGGCGCCTTGAAGAGCACGTCCGGCCGGCGGCCCGCGGGCGGGAGCAGCTCCCGCTGCATGGCCGCCTCCTCCGCCGCCGCCGCCGCCGCCGCCGCTGCCGCCGCAGCCGCGTAGTAGGGAGCGTAGCCCCCCGCGCCGCCGCCGCCACCGCCGCCCCCGCCGGGGCCGCCCCCGCCGCCACCGCCCCCAGCGCCGCCGCCGCCGCCGCGGTACGGCCACTTGGCGCGCTCCAAGCTGTAGTCGCGGAAGGCCACCTCGCGCACGGGCTGGACGTGCGGCGCTAGGTTGGAAGAGTAGGGGAAAGTCATCTGGCAGGACGACGGTTGCGACAGAAACGATGGCTTGCTGGCGAAGTCCGACGGGGCCACATAGTAGGCGCAGCCGGGCAGGTACATGCTGGCTGCGCTCGGGCCGCACTCGTCAAAGTCATTCATGGCTCCGCGGCGTGCGCACCGGCGAGCCCCGGGCCGCTCCCCGCGCCGCCAACCTGAGCCATTGATTGCACAAGAGGCTTGGGCCAGGATCAACTAAGCAAAAATCCCCACCGGGCGCTGACGTGCAATTCATCTTGATTGATTCTGGTGGTAATTATGTCACGTGACGCCATGGAGAGAAATGTCCTTATATCTATATCAGTGCTCGCCAACACGCCCCGGGACGGCTCCTGGCGCCGAGACACGCGCGTTGGGGGCGGATCTGGCCTCGCTCTCTAGCCAGATCTCCCTGGGCGCCCCCTGACTAGGCTGCTCCGCAGACTGGGTCACCTGTGTGCTGCCGGTGGCTGCCACTGCCGGGCGCATCTGCCACCGCCCGGTTGGGCCGCCCGCCCGCGCCGCTTTAAGTACGCGGACCGAGGACGGAGGGGAGGAGGAGGGAGGGGGAGGAAGGAGGAGGAAGGGGGAGGAAGGGGGAAGGGAAAGAAGCGGGGAGCGGAGGGGGGAGTCCCGGCTCAGGGCACTGGGGACTAGGTGTGAGGGTGTGAGGTTCCCACTCTCCACACCCCTTCCTGCAGCCGCTCCCTCCCCCGCGACGCCGCCACCCTCTGTAGCTCGCTAGCCAGGAGCTTGTTGCTTCTGGTTCAAGGGGCGTGATTGAGCAGCTCTGGGGCGCAAGCAGCCCTGATTTACATATTTCTCTGCCAGGCTCTTTCACCTCATAGTAACTTGGCTCTCTTCACTCCTGATCCAAGGAACGTGAGTGCCAGCCTCGAAAAACCCACTCCGAAACCCCACCAGGAGCTCACTCGGACTAAGGCCTCGGCGCCCACTCGGCCCTGTCGCCCTCTCTCCAGCCCTCTCTCCGCCTGTCTCCGGTCCTGCCTTTCTCGTCTCTCTGCAGCCTTCTCACTTTCCCTCTCCTGTCCTCTGTCTCACTCTCCTCTCTTGTTTCGCCTTTGCTTCTTCCTTCCTTTTCCTTTTCTTTTTTCTTTTCTCTCTCTGTCTCCTGGTACTCTGTCCTTCCCCCAGCTGGGTGTCACCATCTCTGTCTCCCGTCCTGTCACCTCTCTGCAAATTTTTTTTTTTTTTTTTGCTGCCAGTGCTGAAGCAAGGAGGAAGTCCAGCCATCAGAGACACCCCGTGGCCCCTCTAGAAGCTGGCGGGGGGGGGGGAGGGGGCAGTTGGGTGGTCCTGATAAACAAAAGGATCTGAACTCCTGTCAGGGCACCCAGCCTTCGGCGCTCCCCCAGCCAGAGAGGAACCATCAGCACCTCTGCCGTCCTGGTCCTCTTTGCTTTCTGGCCAGGACTGGGACCAGCCCATTTCACATCCAGCCCCTTCCCTGCGTTAGGAGCCTCACCAAGGCCTACACATCCACCACGTCTCCCCAAGTCTCCTTCAGTGCCCTTGGGCCAGCATAGTTGCACAGTCACTGCACCACCCTCCCCGCAAGTCCTTTGGCTTGCGGGGGGGGGTCTCAGCAGTTCTTGCCTCCTTGCTTGAGTCCCTCTATGCCACTTGGCCCCAGGACTCCCTGTCCACTTGCCCCAAGGCCTCACTCTCCTAGGTGGCCACTTTGTCCCTCTTCCCTAGCCTAGGGGTCCAGGCAAGGCCAGAATTCCCACCTCCGGAAAAGCCAGCACTTTCCAAAGGTAAAATCAGGCTCTGGGAAAGAACCCCCCCAAAACCCAAATCCCAGAATCCAGGACAGGAAGTTGCCCCTCTCCCCAGATTCCTCTGCCCAAGCAACCAGAGCACTGGGTTCTGGGGCTCAGCCCTGTGCCCAGAGCAGGCGGCGCAGGCTGTGCAGCCCGCGGCCTCCCTGGCCCCCACCACTGCAGTGCCCAGGAGGTGAGCTCTGCCCACCACCTCCACAGACAGAAGAGGCCGGGGATGGGAGCTCACATCTATTTTCTGGTTGATGGCCCCCTCTTCCTCTTTTTCTCCTCCCTTCCCCTCTTCCTTCCACTCTCCCCACTCCGCCCTGCTCCTACTTCTGCTTCCCTCCGAATACATCTCAAACCGGTCGGTGGCGACTGGAGGGTGAGGAATCGCCCCAGCCCCCCCAACTGTTCATCCCTGTATGCACCCTCCTCCAACCTGGCACCGTTTCCCAGATTCCAGCTTGTCCCCTTCCCCTCAGCCCAGACCTCCCGCACAGTTATCTGCCTCCCCATCTCCATCCCTGGCCCAAGCCTCTTCCTTTCGGGCTCCCAGTCGACGCCCCTGGATCTCTCTCCTAAAATGGCTCCCGGGACACTGCACACCGCCCTGCAGCGGCTCAGGACCCGGGGCAGCGGCGGCGGGGCCCCAAGCCGGGTCCTTCTGTGTCCAGGGTGCAAACCATCCTCTGCACAGGGTGGGGCGCAGGCATGCCGCCACCCCCAAAGCAGAGCCTGCTGACCGCCGAAGAGGGAAATGGGGAGGACGAACCATTCAAGTTCAACGACATGGCGATGGCGGCTTCGGCTGGAGCCGCGCTTTGGCGGGGGAGGGTTCGCCATCTGCAGCCGCGGGCTGATGTACTGGGGAAAGGAGCCCGCGGGCCCCCCACAGCGCATTTACGAGGACCCCCGCCCCCACACCCAAGCCAGGGCTTTCGTTCTGGGCCCAGCAAGCTTAGCCTTTTGACTCCAGCTCTCTCCTCGATCTTCACCCAAAACCCCAGGAAAGCGGCAACCTCCCGACCCTCTTGTCCCGCTCGAGAACCTACCGTGAAGGCTCCGGCGCTGTGGCCTCGTCCTTCGCCTGCGGCCCCACTCGAAGCGCAGGGAGCGCACCGGACCCTCCCGGAACCGCCAGCAGCTCCGCGAGTGATAGCTTTCTGAGCAGCGCCCGAACGCGATGCGGTAATTTCGAGCCACCCAAGATAAGACACTAACTTGACCTTAACTTTGTCAGGGTGCCCCTGGTATCTGGAGAACGTGAACAGACACTGTCTGGCAGCTCTCGTAAAAGCTGACTGGGGAAGGGATTCTGAGTCATTTCATTTATTGCCACTACAGTTCTGCAAGAAAGCTTTTCCTCCCTGCCAAACTTTAATTATTTATGCTCGTTTAGGAAACGAAAGAAGAGGAGAAAAGCGGAGAAAACACCCAGAGCCAATCCTTTTCCCGAAGAGCCTTCAGAATGGGCTTCCCAAGTCAAGTGACTAAAGAACAACAACAACACAACAAATGTGGGGAGATCACCTTTGTCCAAGGAGCTAGGACAGGCGCCTTGGCCCCCACCCCACCTCCCACTAAGGTGGGTGTATGCAGCTGGGAGAGGCAGGGTGAAAGGGCACCCCCCCTAGTATCACCCATGAATATTTACAACGGTTCTGGATTTTTCCTCCACTCCAACCCCCACCCTAGCCTCCCGGAAGCCCCCCCAACCCGCCTCCCTCGGGGAGAGCCCCCAGGCCTTAAAAGCGCCGGGTTGGCCCTCTGAACTCGCAGCCGATTGAACGCCAGACGAAGCCGTTTTTTTCTCGTTTAAAAACCTTTTTCTTGGTAAAGAGGCCTGTCTGGACTGCAGCATTTCGGAGAACGCATTTGTCTTTGTGCGAGGGAATGTTGAGCACTCCGATTTCAGCATCCTTTCTCTCTGGCGTTTGTTTCTTATGGTGAATTTCGTCGTCGTTCCAAATCCCTGCCAGGACTTCGGCTACGAAGGGAGAGAGGACACCGCTGCCTTTGTATTTGTGCGGACCAGTAAAAGGAATAGATTTGAAAAACATCGCTGAAGCCATAAGGGATGGACAGGATTTTACACTTAGAATAATTGCAATCTCTTTGGGGAGTGGTCTCCATGAATATCTCTTCCCATCCTACATCCCAAGCTAAAGAGAAAGAACACGATGATTTCACTGTATGTATATATGAAAAACACGGCCTTGGCGTGTTGTCTTTGGTCCTGGATTTAAGTCTGGGTTTCCTGGACCTTTACCCAGCCCTCCCAACCTGAGGTCCGAGTATGGCTTCAGCCTTTGTTTGGGTGTTTTGAGACCCAGCTCTGGGTACCACAGTACCACCGCCTCCCTGAGCCCCACAAGACCAGAAACATTTCTAAAGATAAGGCCTCTATAGCTTCTTGGTTCCTTTTTCCTCGGTTGCATTTTTTTTAAGGAGCTGTTTTAAAAAATATTTTTAAAGTACACATCAAGTTCGCTTGAGGGAAGAGGATTTGGAGCCATTGAATATTCAGTATTAGAGATTTAACAGTTTTGTGAATTGTCCCACTTGCTCAAAGCTAGCGATTCTCTACTTTCCATCTCTGAGCCAGCTGGAGCTGGGGTCTGCAAGAGGACGGTGAGCTCAGCAAGCCTGAGCGTTTCCAGCCCGAGCTAGAGTATCTGAAGGCCTAGGGGTGGAGAGGCCACGCTTCCCAAGAGAGTTTGCTGGGCTGCAGGCAGAGGTGCCAGTACGGAGGTTTTCAACAGGGCACAACCTTTTCCAGAGAAGCCCATGGCAGAGAGAGTTGTTTGCTTGAAAATCTGAGGAACCTCATATCTTGGCAGCCCCCCCCCATAACAACAAGCTTTCAAGTTTGAGAATTTAGGCAAAATATAGAAGCCCCTGCCTGCCATAAGCTGAGAGTTTGCTTAGTGTGTGAGACACACTAAAATCTGTCCGTGAATCTTCCTCTTTGGATATTTCGGACACATTTTGTTCATAGCTTTTATACACCATTTCCTGACTGACTTGGAAGACATTTTCTCATTTAATGGACAGTCAAGTCAGTAACTACAGTGAAACTACAATCAGAAAAGAAAAAAATTAATTTCATGGCCTGAAAAACATTAGGAGGGAATCTGAAACATTAAAAAAAAATCAACATCAGTCCCTTGACAGCTTGGCTGGGACCTGAATATTTATTTCCACTCAAACATTTCTATGTGTCTGATATATACAAGCTATTGTTTTTGACACAATCAAAATAAAACAAAACATGCACGACAACTATCAGGTCGCAGAGAAAATGCAATTAGTCTAAACATCAACTAAGGTCAGTTGGACTGAGGCTCAGGAGCTCCTTGTGAGGGGCCCACTCTGGGTCCAGGGCCTGGTCCTCCCCTGAAAGTAAAACATTGGACTCTGGGAAGAAATCTTCTATCCTTCGGCTGTTGTGCATATTGCTAGGAGTTGGGGGCGCTACTTCTCAGGAGATGGAAAAGAAGCAGAAATGGTAGGATCTGGGGGAGGGGGCTTGGGTTCACTGAAGTTAAGGCAGGATACCCAGCACACCTAGGACAACTCCATCTGGCATTCTGGAACCCCAACCTCCACAAAGCAAGCCTAGCAGGGCCCAGGGCCTTGCACACTCCTCAGGGTCAGGCCAGAGATGACCTCAGAAAGGGTACAGTGGTTGAGCCCCTGGTGGAGTTGGCAGGTGATGGAGAAGAAGAGAACTTCCGCTCCTCTCTTGGTCAAGAGCAGCTATGAGGGGCTGAGGATCTGAGGGACCTCCTTTCTTGTCCACCCCCTGCCTGGTGGAGGAGGAGATTTCACTTCTTCCTGCAGTGGCTTATTACTATAATTCAAGAAAGAAAGACATGTTGACACCTTTACCCACCTTGACAGGAAAGCCATATTTACAGTTGGAATGTAGGCCCCCCCTGCCCCCCTTGCTCACTCCCTTCTCCTGCCTCTTGACATTTTTCTCTCCTTCCACTGCAGCCCAGCCTCAAAGCAGACGAGCATCTCCTCATCAGAGCTCAGCTCTGGAACCCAGTTACCCAGCACAGGGCTCTGGCTGAGGCATGTGTGGAGGAAGTGAGAGAAGTAGGGGAATTTTACCAGTCTTGGCTAGGAAGTGCAGTTTGCCATGGAACCCCAGCCTCCCTTGCCCATTCCTGGGAAAGAAGTATCCAGTCCATTTCGCCCAGCTGGAGGAGCCAGTCCAGCTTGAACTCCGAGATGTCTCTGAGTTTGTACGGCCGCACTCCCTCCCCTTTCCTCCCAAGATCTGAAGGTCTAGGGGGGCTTTTGTCCTCTCAAACCAGCCAGGGAAGACAGAGGGTGGTGGTGATGGTACACTTTCCTTTCTCCAGCATCGTGATTCTGGCTTTGCCATAAGGGGCTTTGGCTGCAAAGAGACAGGATTGTGTCCACAGCCCTTTTCCACTTCGCCCCGAAGCCCTTCCTAAATTCAGTTCCATTCTGAGTTCTAACTAGGTGTCTGCTAAATGCAGAAAGAATTGGGGAAAAGGGAAAAGGGAGACTAGGCAAAAGCAGAAATCCAAGTAAAAGGGAGCTGGAGTGAGTCCAGGTGTAAATGCCTTGGCCAAAAGCAAAGACAGGTGACCCCAGGATCCCACTGGAGAACCCTCGCGCCAAGGTTGTGCTGCAACTTTCACAGCCCCTTCCGGAAAAAGGAAAGCCGGGAGGCACTACTGGCCAGGTCTCCAAATCTCCTACTGGCTTTCCGGGCTGCAGCCAGAGCAGGAGGGTACCTAGGATCAGCTGAGGAGTGGCAGGAAAAGCCCCAGTCCCAGATCTTCCTCCACGCCAGACTCGGGCTCAAAGAAGCAGAACCGGCCTCGGCTGGGCCAGGGATTAATACAGCGCCAGCGCCTGCTCGCGCAGCACCACACGCTTCTTCTTCATACGACGGTTCTGGAACCAGATTTTGACCTGCTGGTCGCTGAGGTTCAGCCTGTTGGACAATTCCTTGCGTTTCTGCCGGTTGATGAACTCGTTGAGGAGGAATTCGTTCTCCAGCTCCGCAATCTGCTGCTTCGTGTAGGGTTTCCGCTTCTTGCGGGCCCTCCCGGGGGCCGCCCCCCACGGCAGGCCTGCAACACAGCCCCAACCCAAGTCAGCCCAGCCCGCTCCCTGCTGCCTGCCCACCCCCGGAGGCTTCCTCCCCCTACACACTGGACCCTGCATCCCACCTCCCATTCCGGCCCTGACTGGCCCGGGGAGCATGGCCACCGTTTACCGTCGGGCAGCGAAGGTCGCAGGCAAGAAGCGACGCCCGCTGCCTGCACTGTCATGTTCAAGTTGAGCGGGCCCTTGGTGTCGTCCTTGAAGCCGGCGGCGCAGGGGGTCCCCTCAATCAGGGCCGCAGAGCCTGGCGCGGCACGGCCGACACCCGCGTAGTCGTACTTGGTGGATTTGAGACCAGAGGCCGAGGGCACCAGGCTAGACTCGGGGGCAAAGGGCGGCCGCGAACGGCCACGCTCCTCAGGCGCTGCGGCCACGTCGGGCGTGTAAAACTTGGCCTGCTCTTCGGGTCGGTCCTTGGCGCCAAGGGGCTGCAGCCCAAGAGGCCCCGAGCCAGCCAGGTAGGGTTGCGAGAAGCCGCCGAAGGCGGTGGCACCGGCAGGCTGCGCTGGGGCGCAGGAGGCGGGCGTGGTGGCCCAAGGCAGCGCGCCGCGAGGGTATGAGATGGGGGGAAGTGCGGCCAACTGGCCTCCATTCGGCCGCAGGTTGGAGAAGTAGAAGGAGTCGGGCGACTGCAGATTCAGAAGCGAGCCCACATAGCCCGCTCTGTAGAGACTGCGCTCACACATCTCCAACAAAGGGCTTCGGCTGTGCTCGCAGCAGTATTTAGTTACAACCGGGAATAAGAGGACAGGCTCAGACGATTGGACGAAACTTTGCCTGCAGGTTCTTCAAAGCCGGTCATTTCAGCACCGCCTACATCCCCCCGACCCGTTTTCCCCCCCTTCGGGGTATTATGATAACACCCGCAATATTCGATGGCGAAGGACAAGCCTGCCAGGCAGAGAGCTAAGGCACGTTGAGCTGAAGGTGAAACCGCTGAAGTTTCCAGGCCCAGTGTCAGGAGCTGGGGACATCAGGCATAGGGTGCCTTTGCCCAAGTGTCCCTTGGGACCCTTCTTGGTCTTGATTAGCTTTACACTCTCATTTTTCGCTGCTTACCTGGGCCAGGCTGGCTTCTACTAGCTTTAAGTTACAGCCGAGGCCTTTCCAGTACCGCGTGAGTCTCAGTTTGCCCCAAGATCCCGTGGTCTGGTGGGGCCACCAGCTCTGTCCCTAGCCCTGAGCAATAGTTCCCCTAACCCATCCCTCCCAGTCCCGTCTCTGTGGAGAGAGCTCTTCGCAGGGCATCTCAGAGCGAAAACCCACGAAGTGCCCGAGCCCTGGGCCCCAGGCTCCAGGCACAGTCCCAGAGGTTTATTGATTGAGAAGTGCATCACGAACTCTCCCGAGTTCGATTCCTAGGAAGGAAGCTTCACACCACTCCTGGGTGCTTCTTCGTGGCCAAGCCTTGTGGTCCTGGGGAGGCTGGCCCGGGCCGCTGGATTGGCCAAAGGCTACATTCCTTTTATAGCCAGGAGTCATCGTGGCGACTACATCCTGCAAACCAGAAGTCCAAGGTGTTCATCCACTCTGTGGCAGGCAGAGTAGGCCGAGCTTCTTCCCGCCCCCCCCGCCCCCGCCCCCGACCTGGCGTGGAAGGAGAGAAGAGTCAGAGCCACGGGTCAGGAACAGCGGGGCACACCGAGGAGGAAGAGGGCCGGCTGCATTCCGCCCTCATCGCCTCCAGGGCCGCGGGAGGCTGGCGGGTTCCGGGGTCTGGAGAACACGGAGGTGGGCGGGGCAGCGCTCTGTTGCTGGGATCATTGTGGCAGCCCCCGCAGTAGGCCCTGGGTCTGGTCTGGCCAGAGGGTCAGGGGTCCTCCTCCCCTGCCTGGGGTCCCAAGACCCCCAGCGACCCGGTGGCTGGAGCCCGCCCCGGCCTGCAGCCCGCCTAGCGGTCCCGGAGCCAAGCTGGAATTGGTTAGACCGCCAGCTCCGGCACTGAGACCACACAAGCGCCGCCGGAGGGCAAGGCTGACCACCGCGCTGCGACTTTATTGTGTGAGTTATGGCGACCAATTGGGCGGCTCTGGGGAACGCAATCGGCCTCTTCCTCCCGCTCTAGGGCGGGGGAGGGGGTGGGGTGGGCACGTCCACGGCTCTTCCAGGCTCCGTCAGTTGCCTTAGGAACTCAGACGGAGACGCACGCGGCTCCCCGCCCTTTGGTGATGGGGCGGGGGTGGTGGACGCAAGCTGCTACCGCCGTTCCTAGGGACCTAGGGGGCCTGGGCTCTCACTTTTGGAAACTCGCTTTGTTTTTAAGGAGCTACAGCCTCCCCAGGTCCGTGAGCTCCGGCTCCGTGGGTCCCTGACGCCTCCCCTCCTCCCGTTTCAGTATATACGGAGATTCTCCGGTATCTCCAAGTCTACTCCGGACCCTTAAGCAGTCGCACGGCTGCGGTCGGCCCCTGGGGACTAAAGATAGGAACTAAGTGAGAAACAGAAAAAGACTAGAACGAATTAGACTCCCTTCATTTCTCCTTGGCTCACAATGGTGCCCAGTCACCACCTCATCTCTTGAGTTTATGATTTCCGAGGTCCAGCAGGCAGAGTTGTATGCGTGGAGCTGGGAGCCGGGGACAGGGAACAGGGAGGCAAGGGGTGGGGCGTGGGGGGTGGAAGCAGGAGGCTCGGCTGGTAAACTGGAGACTGGGAAAGGAAACTTCGTCGCGGAGCTAAACCGCGAGCTCTGCCAATGCCACCAACTGCCCAGGAGATGGCGAGCGAGCTCCACGCCTGACGTGGAGCAGCCACACGGTCAAGATCAACAGTGAAGGACGACGCAGCCGGCCCGGGGTCTGCAGCCTCTGCGGTCACGGCCCGCTGCCAGGCGCGGCCGAGCGGCTCGGGAAGCCGGAGCTCTGGCGGCCAGGCTGGCCCGGACTGCGAGGCCAGAGGGACTCGGCGGCCGCCAGACGTGGGGAAGCGGGGAAGCGTCGCGGCGCCCCCCCCCCCACCCCGCCTTTGTCTAGCGGTGTGTCCCGGCTCCAAAGCCACCTTCGCCTCTAAAATCACGCGCAAAACCGCGAGCCTTGATTCTCCAGCAGCGGCGCTCGAAACCTGCCGGGTTTCGGAGGCGCTGCCCTTGCGGGCTCTCGGTCCGCACGTGGAGGCAGAGCAGCTCCGCCCGGAGCTCCGCTGCCCGAAGCGCCCGGGCCGTGGCGGCGTCCTGCGGGCCTCCCTCGCAACGCCCGGCCCACCGACCCGTTCCTCTCCCCCCTCCCACTCGGAATATAAAAGGAATTCATATAAATAACAAAGTTCATCTGTTACTGATTTAGCCTTCAATTCAAATTCCACCGGGAGAGTGTTTGAGCGCAGTTTTAATCTTCAGCAAACCTCCCATTTCTCTTAGGCGGAGGGAAACTGACGGGGAAACTGCAGTTAAAAGAAAAACCTCGAGGCAATTCCCTCCATCCACTTACAGGAAACCTGACAAACGGACCCGAGAAATGGGCCTCGGAGTTTGGACGTTACACAAAAGAAGGGGGTGGGGGTGACGGGTACGACGACGACGGGAGAACAAGGGAAAACGGGCCTGTTTCGGATGAAAACACATCTTGTGAGAAAACCAGCAAATGTTAGTAATTCTTCACAAAGTGGAAGGTCGGGACGGTATGGCCCCATTTTCTCCAGAGATTGAATGTTGGTCACTTCTCTCTCTCTCTCCCTCCCCTCTCGTTTCTCCCCCCGTATGTATCTCTCTGTCTCTCCCTCAGTATTAACACGAAGTTGACTGCCCCGCAATCCGTTGCAAGATAGGAGAGAAATCAAGAAGGCCAGAGAAATCGAAAGTAGCTTCGAACCTGTGATCTCTGCTCTTTTCTCTGGCAGATACTAAAGGAGCCCTCCCGCCAGAAGAGTTTACATATTGTGTGACGTTTTAAACATCTGTATTAAGCTCACATATCAAAAAGTTAGCAACCACTAAATTAACTGATTGTGCCTGCGTGCTAACAACCAAGAGGCAACCTATTTCCCTAAACGGCCATTTCCCTGACAGGCAAAACGAAAGATCGTAGTGCCTAAAAATTGCGTCTAGAGGTTCGGCTGTATAATTATGGTTTCAGCCTACAACTGCTGTGTGCGGGGTGCCGGGGGAAGGCGATAAGGCATAAAGGGAAATGTTTCCTTTTTAATTGCCAAATATGGATACGTCTAATTTTAAGACCTTCCTAGAGTAGATATTTATTACAGCCTTTCGAGGAAGAAAACCTCTGAGTGAGCATGTTTTTCTGTACCTGGCATATACATATTGACTTTAAAAATGAAATTGTTTGAATACATTGGTAATATTGAGAGGAGTAAAATTTTATTGGAGATGTTTTTAAGGTGGTCTGGTAAAAAATATCATTTTAGACACCGCAAGTTATACCCTCCTGTAAAGACATTACTGTGTATGTTAAAGCCTCGGAAAAGTGGGGCGGAGTAGCAAAAGTGGAGAGGCTTCCCAGACCAGAGATAGTGCTGAGTTTTCTTCATACAGAGGGAACAGCATAGAGTTTCAGTTAACAAGATTTTACAATAAATAAGAGCAGTTTCTAGCGTCAACAGAAGCTTGGGAGAGAAAATAAATGTATAGAGACTCAGAGGAAATAAGAGAGTTCTGTTTATTTGCATCTCCCTAGGAGTAAAAAGTGATTTTTAAATGCCTGAAGCACTGCTCACACATCCCAGCTCACAGACATTTCATCTACAAAAATAATCTCTCAGTTGTATAAATATGCAGCACTTTAAAAGTAGTTATCACTTTCAGAAACATTTTTTTTCCTTTTTGGACCTTAGAGCTCCACAAGTTTTGCATTTGTTAGATGTTTTACAGCTTTGAAAGAGGCCCAATACATTTGTTCTGATGGTGAAGTTCTTCACTGGGTTCTGGATAAAAGTCCCCACCCATGTGGCCTTGGGTGGACACTTTTTTAGGGGATGGAAGAGATGGCCTCAATTTTAGTTCCACAGACTGGAGGCCAAGGAGAGGGGGTGCATTTATACCGTTCATAATTGCAACCATTTAAATATTTGCACCTAGAGCTGGGGTAATGAAGTCATCCATGAGGACACGTTATTTTCAAATTAAAGATCGTAAAAGCACAAATCTACATGGTATGTTAAACATTTACAACAGCAAGTGAAAGACTCGAAGTCAGAAAGATTGTCTTCATTCCAATACCGATACAAACCCTATTTAATAAGGTAGCTGCTTTTAAAGCCATAACAGTACCTCCAGCCTCCTGTTTTTTAGCATTTCCAGTGACCCTGGAGTCCTGCCTGCCCAGAGCTGTTTTCACTTGCCTCAAGGCAACTGCTGAGAGCTAATGATTCAATTACCTAATCACAGGATATGAATGACTGCAAATCGTTCTGCCTTAGTGGAATATGAAGATAATCAGTGCTGGAAACAAGCATATAAAGTAATTAAAAAATAAAATCCTAAAATGAAAACGAATGACATTTCTGAAATTCACGGGGCAGGGGTATTCAAAAATACTTCAAGTCCTTTATACTGGCCTGGAGGGAGAAACAGAACATTGAAAACATCATAAAAATAAACCTAGAAAAGGAAAAAATCAATAATAAACAAGTAAACAGAACTACAAAGTCAGGTGGGGTAGCAAAAAGTTTTAGAGCCAGATAAGGGGAAGAGAGAAAAACAATTCACAAAGTTTGCCATTACTGGCTGGGGGAT